TATTCTGCATATTTCAAAAGATCGTAAAAGGATCGAGATGAGAAATAATTAAGAGACAATCTAACGATATTATCAAAAATGGATTTATTATTTATTAAAACGCGGCGGTCTGGTGTTACGGATGCATTATTCACGCTACAGCCACATTAAATGAAACATTCTCCAGAATCCATATATCACCGGCAATACATGTGTGAGATATTGGTATTGATTAAACACGCGTTAATTAAAGATCGTGTGAAAGATTTTCTGACATGAACGAATAGGATTGATCGTTCACGTGGCGGGCAAATTCGATGTGATATCGTCGCGTTCGCTGCACTTGTTTCGCTTAAGCGAGGAAGCGGAGAAAGTCGGTGCACGGAGATCTCGAATCTATTTCCGTGGGGCCCCAACCGAGCGCAGCAACAGACGGAACGAGACGCGAGGGGGCGGGCTGGGGGAGCGTCGGACGGTCGGCGAGAATTTATGTGTTTGGGGAGGGTCAAGGGAACGAGGGTAGCGACAAGTGCAGCAAACGGGCGGAGGACAGCTGGATGCAACGGGTGGAGAGGAAACCGAAACGGAGGGAGGTGAAGGGAGGGATGACGAGAGGGATAGATGCACTTGCGCGTCACGCGCGCGTTATCGAGACGAATTCCATTCCCCGGATCGTTTCCGACGCGAGGACGCGACGAGGACCGTTTTGGAACCGAGAATCCGCGGTATCCCGAATTCGAGAAGGCCATGGAGGGCCCAGAATCCGATGGATTCTCCCCTCTAACGGCGGGTGTAGAATCTGCAGGCGATAGAATCCCGGGGATTCGGAACTTATACCACGTGGCGTTCGCAAACACTATAGAGGATCTGTGCGGAAGATCCTCCTTCTACCAGAATCTACCAGAGATTCGAAAACATGTTTATATACAAGAGAACGAAAATATTGTAAGAGAAAATTTAAAAAAATTTTTAAGTACACACACGCGCACAATTTGAAATTAAATCCGGAATATTTTCAAAGAGAGATCAAATATTTTTAAAGTTTCAAGTCTAAAATATATGGAACGTATGATGTATTAGTTCTTTATATAAAATTCCTAAAATTCCATTGTTCACAGAATCAAGGCACGAATTAATCTCGTTACCGCGATAATTCGGCAGGCTTAGAACCTCGTCGTTCCGCACCCCGATCGCGATCTAACAAATCGCGAAAGTTGTCTATAAAGAAATGTGCATGCTGCACCGCGGTCGCTCCAGTAACGGAACGACTCGAAAGTGAATTATATAGTTACTCGCGTTCCGACGTTTAATGCGAGAGATTACTTTCTTTCGTCCTACTTTTGTTTTCGCGAATGAGCTCGCATTCGTCAGTCTCTCCGTCATATCTCGGAAGGGACGTCGTTCTCGAAGGGAAGAAAGAGCGAATCGGCACCGAAATGTCAATAAATCGCGACGCGTTTTCGCATGCAAATCCGCATCCGTTGATGCACCGCTCGATCGAGCACGTAATGAGCGCGTCCCGCGTGAAAATCCGCTTTTTGCGCGCGTTACGCACCGGGTACCCGGTGAAAGTGATGCTAGTCGTCGGAAAGACACACGCCAGAAAATTAGCGTGTACACATTATGCGCTCGCTTTCCTCGCTCAACGAGTTCACTAGGTATCTCGATCGAAATCTGCCGGATAACACGGGACATCCTTAATAAATTAAATCCAATTAATCTCTCTCTCTACGTGCTTTCGCGCGTCTCGATCAGAAATAGATTTTCAAGTAAAGTTTAAAATCAGCATGTTTTTGCGTGAAACGTAAATCGTCGATACTTTAATGGCAGAAATTTAGTCGCATCATATCTCGTATACGATTTTGTGATGAGCGCCTTCTCGTATTTACAAGTAATATATATCAGTCTTTTTCGATCTTCATGTGGATTAGTAACATTGATACTTTTCTAGTTAAAAATTCTTTTTTTTATAATAATTTTTCATACAATTCAGAGAATAATCTGATAAAAACTTCTACTTTCTCAAACTCTGGTTGTTACATCATAGGTATAACTTTATTTCGATAACATAAAACGTTGTGCATTTATTAAAGGCTGAAGAAGATTGTTCTACGAGACATAAATAATAATAAAGCATGATTCTATTTTCACGAAAAACATTATTTCAGTGGGGAAAACAATGTAATGTCGCAGACTTTTTCGAGCTTTTTATTGCAATTTAATATTTAATGCAACATTAGGGTGTGCATAAGCATATTTCGAGCTGTATTTGTAATAGTTTTGTTAGAAAGTTTCGTTTCTCACTTTCCAACCGCTTTCTAAAAATGTGAAAAGAACAACGATGAGCACCCACTTCAATTCGTGTTCTAACGGCTCGTAATTACTCGTCGCGGCCTGCGGTCAGGACGAAATTGCAACGCGATACTCTGGATGCCTCGTCAAAAAGCCCGCGTCGAAATCGGCTTGGAAAAGATCCGAACGGCCAATCGACACGAATCGTCGCAAGTGCAAAACGATAAAAATGTCTGAACAAGAAAAAGACTATATATTTCGATATTGAGCATCTCGTTTTCAATACTTACATAGACGCAGTGGGTGTTATTATTTATTATCATTTTTATTTACGTTTCTCCAAGCTCTAAAAATTTTTAGAATCTAAATTTTAAAAATCTAGAATTAATAAAATCTACGATCCATCTGTTTATTATTTTTTCTTTATCTCTCGAATTCATGTAATATTGTTTTATATTCCATTGATGGAGAGATGTTCACAAAAATTGTCTTTTAGAAGATAAATTTTATTCAAATTTTATTCAAAATTTTGAATATGTTAAAAAACACAACCCCATCAATTTTATATTAATTATATTTTTAACTACTACATATTCCGCAAATTGCGTGTTCAAAATACTGTAAATGCGTTTAGATATTGTAAAAGAAATAATGTCTAAACGAGTTTAAACCACATATTCGTCAAAGTATTCAATAGTTAAAGGATTCAATTACATTTAAAAGCCACGCATTGCAACAATGTTGCTGTAAACATCTCGTTACCTCGATTGAAGTTCGACATCCGGGAATCGGAGTCCATCGACGAGAGGTTAGAGTATGCTTGAAGAGTATTCGTATGATGCGATCCATAAATCCACAAGTGGGAGCAAAGTTCGATATCGAGGTACCATTTTCGCGGATACATGATGGACATCTTTTCGTTGGCGGACTCAAAATCGCGAAACGAGGACGAAACCGCGTTCGCGCGACGTTATGACACGACACTGTAAATTATACGAATTGGGCCACCGCACGCACACACATACGTGCGTTCGTTTTTTTTTTTTTTTCTCGAGTCACTGTACGCGGGAACACACAAGCGATTATTATCGCTAACGCGGATGTAGACGCACGTTTCGCGGGACCTTGGCCGGTTTCCCCCTTGGCGGCGAGCGATTTGAATTTCCGGTAAAGTGCGTGGAGCGGCCTGAACATCCGATCGAAACACGCGGCAACTTCTCGAAGGTAAGGAGAATCGTATTCGTTATCGGTAAAGAAGAAATTCATAAATACATTTTTTACCTATCGCAAAAAAAAAACTACTGTCGGTAAAATAGAAATTGGTATTATCGATGTTTTCCTGTAATACCGATATATGTGAAGCAAGAGGGAAAAGCGAGATCTACGTACGACTTACCTATACTCGGCTCCGGTTTAATGTTCTCGGTCTTGATTTCCGCCCTCGAAGCGTAAGGGATGGAGGTCGGAGACGTTTGCGTCGACGGGGCCGCCAATTTTTCTATAAATATCAAGAACCGATTAGCATGTGAGTTATGTAAAAAAGAACACGAATACATAATAACGTATAATGTGATAATTTACCCGCTAATAAAGGATTTGCGGCGGCGATATTGTGCCTCTGTCTCCTATAGGAGGAAGGGGTCGTGGTGGAGGTGGGTTGGCTGGCCTCCGCCTCGAGTTCCCGCAGGAAATCCAGGGGATCGAAAAGTTCCTCCCCTGTGGACATACCCGCGCCCTCCTCCGCCGGCACATTCGGAGCCGCCGGCGTCCCTACCAGAGCACTCAACTCCATCGGCGAGAATTCTACCGATTGGCCCGTGTTGCTCTGCTGAAAGCACATAGGGAATTTAAGGATAATGAAAAGAAAAAAATATATCGTAATTAATATCTCGATATTCGTATAATATATTAATGTCAAATTATTCTAGAATCACCTGAAGGCACTGGGTCAGATCCATTTTTCCGTCATTGTCAGAGTACCAGAATAGCTCGTCGTCTATGAAAGGCATGTTTGATTCCTCCTTGGGTACGAGGGTGGAGGTTAATGTAGGCGTTTGCGATACGGGGACCGGCATCGGGACCCGGCGGCGGGGCCACTTTAGCCACCCCCGCGCCTTCTAACATCTAAAACCACCTCTCCGGGACTTCTCCTCTTTCGTCTGATGCTGCTCCCGGACGATTCTTCCTTTTTTTTTTTCACGAGTTATTGTTCACCTGAAAATAGAATACAATGCGTGTTAGATGCATCTCAAAGGAAGAAAAAAACATGTATAATTAACTTCTTTGAGTTTAAACAAACAAGAATAAATATTTTTTTGCGATATATTTCTTTACGATATTATATATCTAATTAAGGTTCCCAAGATAAGTGTGTTGTATGTGTCTACAACGATTTAGATACAGCTCTTATAAACACATCTCTCAATAAATAAAATTTTTCTTCTGTTTATCTCTCAATGACTTCCGGTACATCATGCATTCGCACTTTCATTTGGAATCTAATTTAAACTTGACTGAAAAAAATGTAACTTGATGATAGTGTTACTTTCTCCTACCGCCCGTGTATACCCGCATGAGGTTATACAAGATGTAATACTATACTATTTGGAAAAATAGAAAAGAAATATAAAGATCTCTCATATCTTGCAGATCCATAATCACGCTACGCATTGGGGTGTGATAACATTAAAAAAAAAATCGAATATCTTCATACATAAATTAGAGTAAGAATGCCTCAAAAGTTTGACAGAAGGCGCATTTATATGACGTTTAAATATTTAATCATTATAATAAATATTTTTTCTCTTTTAAATACGTAATCGGAAATTGAAAAATGAAAGATCTGAAATGAGATATTTACCGAGGACAAAAATCTCTTTTATTTACAACAGTTCCGGTCTGTTAGAAAGACTTGATCGATTCCTCGAGGGGGGCTGCTCATCGATGCGCGCAGAGGATGATGATTCGTAGCTAATTCGCATAATACTGGGGAGGGGTAAGAGGGGGCGCGGACAATTTCCATGAAAGTGAAAACACCGAGAGCGAGAACTTTCTTTCTGGCTTCTGTTTCACTTCCTGTGCGCGTAACCTCGCGCTCTCCCCGCCACCGTTGCATTTCTATGCACCTTCTACTCGACTGCATTTACGTAACTCGCAACCGCGAAAGAAAGTTTTCACCGAGCGCGGGGAGAGGTTAACATCCTCTACTCTCCCGGCTAATATTATCGCAACGCATTAATAAATCGAGAAACGGATGTTTTTTTTTTTTCTAATCGAGGAAGTGTCACGTGTACCCTCACGCGAGAGAGAAAGAGAGAGAGGGAGAGATTCGTGCGTGATTAAACTCTTCCCACCTTGTCGCGCTTGTGTCAACGTCCTTGTGTGAGCACCGTCCGCTCTCTTCTCCGATATCACATCGCGCCGAAAACAGCAACTAGATTTGTAAAACGTACGTAGCGTTTACCGATAACACGAGACGTCGTGGCAAAAAGTACGAAAAGTGCAAGTGAACCGGAATTAGAAGAAATTATATATAGAACCTCTCTAAAGATGAGAATATATATATATACGTTATAAAATTTGTATAACTCAGAATATAATTCAAGAAATGTAAAACGGAATATACATAAAAAATTAGCATCTGTGTAATCATGGAATCATCGAGTCGTGATTCGCGGAATAAAAAATGTGAAATTTTAATCATAAAAAGGCGGAAAAATAACCAGCATTTTCTCGAGATCCCAGTGAGAATATGACAGACTATCGGTTTGTTCAATTCGTATTTCTATTTCTATTTCTATTTCAGAGTAGCAAATCGACCGTGCCGGGATCCTCGAGGCAGAGATTTTTACCGCATCAAGGTAAGGAAACTCCGAGGGATCGCTCGGTTCTCAATTTACACGCGGCTTTCGCACGTCTCGCGAGAGATGGCGATCGCATGCAATTGTGAACAGCTGGAGGGCTTCATTCATAATAAGTTGGCGTAGTAATATCGAATTTCGATAGTGCCGTTGCGGTACTCGAACGGGCACGAATCCGCAAAACCCTCTCCTCTATTGACATTTCCTTGATCGCTTTAATCAATCTGCATGACGATTAATTTTTTAAAAAATCAATACACACAGTATTTTATTCATTGATGCAGAAAAATAAGTATAAATGATATTTCCGCTAAGAATCAATCTACTTCAAGTTTATCGAAAAATCTGTCGTCAAATTTAAAAACATGCGAATTCACGCTATTATATACGTAAACTTTATATGAAAAGTCGGATATATAACTGATTATCTTGCTGATCGAGAGACCTCGGGATGCGCGGTCCCCCGGCACGTCGAAAATGAAATCTATCGTTGGTCGTTTTCGCGCCAAGCAATGGCTCGCTCGTATATCATCAGCCGGGCTCTTATATTCCAGATACCGTGCGCGGTGCACACTTTATTTACGGCCTAACAAATACCACGAAGGTCGCGGCAACGGCGGCTGCATTAGTCGCGCGTGGAATTTGACCTCCGCGAAAGTGTGCGTCAACCGTTTTCTCGCGCTGCGAGACCGAGACCGTCGTCGGCGCGTACAGAGGCTTCCCATTGTTTCCTCTCTTCCACGGCTATCTTTTCTTCTCCCGCGATATCTACAATGTCGCGCGAGTACTCTCTCGCCGGAAAAAAATGACAGAGAGAAAGAGAGAGAGAGAGAGAGAGAGAGGAAGGGATCTTCACTTTTTCTCTCTATCTCTCTCTCTCTTAGCGAATATTGCGCGAAAACGTTGCGGATCTTCCGAAAGCGACCTTGCGAATTCTAAGCGATAAATTTGCTCTTTGAGGACTGAGATCTTACTTATTTTAAGAAGATCCACGCGCAAAACCCTCACGCGAGATACTTTGACACGAAGGATTTTTCGGTTTCGGTTAATATTCCCGATGAGGAAATTTTTACGAGATTTGAGGGATCTAGAATTTAATTCGCGTTCATTATTAACATATTTTCCTCGCACATTTTTAAATCTTGCTGAATATTTCAGTCGGTTGAAATCATCATTTTTTTTATATTTAATCGCAATGCATCGGGAGAGCAGGAAGTAACTATGAATTTTTAATGAAAAAAGTCAACTGTACACAGCCAGAAAATTCTGACCGCGTTTAGAAAATAACAGTAAGGAAATAGAAAAAGGAGAAACCACAATTTATATATTATTAGCTGACCTATGAGAGAGAGAGAGAGAGAGAGAGAGAGAGAGAGAGAGAGAGAGAACTTATAAGAGACTATACCATGTATTACATATATGAGCAAATATATTTTTTTCTTTGAAGCAATTTAATTCTTTATCTCTTTAAACGTTTAAAGTCTCTTTATGTATGTCCAGATCAATAGCATTGTAAAGAGAATTCGAAATAATATTATAAAACCCAGAATGTGAAAAGTATTCTCTCTGTGTACTCTCTCGCTAAATAAATAAAATATCGCTTAGAAAAGTGACAAACTATTTTTTACTTCTAATATACGTCAGGTCTTCTTGTGTGCATGTGTCAAATCATTAAAGATTAAAATCGTCTTGCTCAATCATTATTAAATATATCGTTACATTTTGGAGATTCACTTTTTCATACCTCGATCCTCAGATAGAAACTAACGTGATAATTAGTCTAACAGATCGAAAAATTCCATCTCCTTGGAGAAGTCGTACGATCATAATTACGGCCGATCTGCACGATTGATATTCGCGCTAACGCAACACGCTATACGTATCTCGCGGAACAAAACGCTTTTTTAGTCGTTGGAGTTCCGAAGAAGTCGGGGCCCGATTCCAGAGATGAAGGTGGAAACGTAATCGATGCTTGAGATTATTGCACGGAAATGAGCGGCGCGTACGTGGGGTGGAGCGGGGTCGATGCTGGACGGCAAGACGCAAAAGTAGCGTCTTCGCCCCGGACTCTTGCAACGCACACACCCGGGGGGGAAGTATATATCTATTGGCCGGCGGCCAATTACACGAGGCAGCCGATAAATCACGGATCCCTGACCCAGTGCAGTTTTATATTTACCGACGACGTGGTGTGTGCGGAGAGGAGCACGGTCACGCAGATTCTCTCTCTCTCTCTCTCTCTTTCTCTTCGTCTCTCTTTTATTATTCCGCACCTCTGTTCGAATCGTGTGCCTCGCTTCTCTCGTCGCTGCTCGTTTCCCTCCTTCTCTCGGTCGCGCAAAGAGAAGCAAAGGAAGCGAGTGACAGAGAGGGAGGGATGCCCCTGTCGAAGGGGTGGAGGAGAGGCACCGCTACGGTGGTCATGCGATTGTGCGAGCGAGCGAGATGGGAGGTAGGCTGTGTGTGTGTGTATGTAGAGAAAGAGAGAAGAGGTGGCAATAATGTATGTATGTGTGTGTACGTGTACGTAGTGCGGCACTTGTTGCGCGCCCGGACGTCGACCTCTTGCGCTCAACTCGAGGCTCCGCGTCGCGGCGCGTCTAGGGATGCTCATGATAATACCATCGATACTGTCTGAATATCGATGCCAAATTCTTTTGGCAATCGACGAACTTGTCTCCAAATCGTCTCAGATTCAGATCTTCAAAAGATGAGAAAATTGCATATTGAAAAGATCTTTCCGTAGCTCTATATTTTTGATATAACGTGGATTCTCTTTAAAACAGTTTGGAATTAGTTCTTCAAAATTATTCATAATCATTCTAACGTTTCAATCGAAAATATGACAAATTTTTAGAAATCTTTAGAGAGGAAATTTAAAATTTTTATAATTTAAAAGAGAGAGAGAGACACGCATGAAATTATATATCTGTTTTTTTTTTTTTACAATATACGTGCGAACCCTCTAATGTCTCTATTAAAATCGTACTTATATACGGACTACATACGATTATCTCATCAATAGCTTTATACAATCGTCAATTTCTCTTTTTATTAACAATTTCGTCGCGATTATTTCTTTCTTCGATCGGTATAAGGAATATTTTGCAGCTTGCGAAAAATTATAAAACGACATCGACGTACGCGATATACACATGTATCAAAAGGCAAAAAAAGATTCGATCACACTTGAGCATCGCTACGCGCCGCGCATCGAAGAGACTGGCTCTCTCTCGGCTTCTCCCTCTCTCTCATCTCTCCCGAGCGGGAAGAACTTGGCGCGCCGCGGCGCAACCTCAAAAAGGTCGTTCAGCTTCCGGCGCTCTCGTTACGGCCGTCTCTAAATCCGTTCACGAGCGAGCGAGAGCGTCGCGACGCGACGCGTGACCCGCGAGCGTATTTCGGAGGTCGACGCTTCGATGATCGCGGCAAGGAGTCCAGTCCGGACGCCGTCGAAAGTCGCGCGCAGCGTTATCGAAGCCGATCGCGAACGTGTCCGGAGAAAGACGGGGGGAGGGAGGGAGAAAGAGAGAGAGAGCGCGCACTTGTTGCGCCCGGACATCGACCTCGCTGCCGCGGTCGAGCCTCCCCGCGCCGGCTTCGGGGCCCTCGAACACGTTCCGCCGGAACCGCGATTTTTCCCAATCGCGGACACGCGCCGGCGAACGAGAACGCGGCGTGCGTGGCTGGAGGTGGAGGTGCCGCGATTCATCAGGGCTTTACGCTTTATCGCGTTAGATATCGCTATATTCTTGTTGGTTTATCCTAGGTCTTGGCTTGGACGTTCGCGTACATACTTCGGTGCGCGAGATATTCGGACGGCGATGTTTATGTCCGTAATTATGTCAAAAGTACGTGAAGAATTCGGAATTCGGCAGATAATATTAGTAGATATAATTCACACATATAATTCAAACAGTAAATATAATTAACTAAAATATATAATTAATTAAATAAAATAAACACAAGATGCTCGATTTCCAAAGTTCAAATATGGGGGGTGAAACTTAATAAAATTTATATAGAATCAAGAATCTCTATGAAATCTTTTCAATCTGCGGGACTCTAATCCTTGTGTTAAAATCAATATTTTAATTTATATCCTCTCGAGTATATAGATCCATATTCCAAAGAGGATTCTCCTCCCCTCTCCCTCTCCCGAATAGACTTCCTCTCCCATGTATCTCGATCGAGTTAAGCCTCTCGCGATCAAGTCTTCCCGACCTATCGTAACGTGACATACATATGACTGCGACAGGAAACGACAACGACGACGACGACGATGATGATGAGGAGAGGAAAAAGGGGCCGCTCCTCTAAGTAAGTATCTTAGTATCCGGAAGCGAATTTCGCTCTCTAGCGGCAGAGACTCCCGAGACCGCTGCACCAAGAGAACACGTACACATGCACGCTCGTATACTCTCGCTTATGGCACAAACACGATGCGAGGCAACGACGGCAGCCGTTCGCCTCGAGTAACGGAATACTCGTCGATGTGTTTTCTCTCTGCGATTCTCTTGCGCAACATTCGCGCGACAACACGCGGCGAGAGCACGCGTGTTTTTTCCTACACATATTCCATCCCCCTTTCCTCTCCTCCTCCTCTTTTTTCATCAGTTACGGCTCCTATTTGTACGCTGCTTCGAGATCAAAGGACAGCTCCTCGCTCGTCTCGGTTCATCAAACTTCACAGGAGGGGGGGGGGGGGGGGCCTTTTTTTCCTACATCCCCCTTTCCTCTCCTCCTCCTCTTTTTTCATCAGTTACGGCTCCTATTTGTACGCTGCTTCGAGATCAAAGGACAGCAAGGACAGCGTCTCGGTTCATCAAACTTCACAGGAGGGGGGGG